CGGCGTTGGCGCCGCATCCCGGGGCGCGGGGTGATGCTGTTCTCTGCCCCTGCAGGGCGGCGGGTTTGCGCCTCCCGGGAGGCACGCGGCCCTTCGGAGAGATGCTGAGGTTTTCTTTTTCGGAAATTGCTCCTTGTGAAACGGCTCTTAGGGTGCCACGAGGTTTCACCGCTCCGGACAGTTTTTCGTGTCACAGTTACACGTAGGGCTGCACCCAAGAGGCACAGCTTGGTGGCAGCACTGTACGGGTGGTTCTTCCAGTCTGAATAAGGGATTGCTGTTACAACCCGTTTCTTTCTGAAAAGACTGAAAAGCAGCTGGTATCTTGTTCCTTTCATTTCTTTTTCCATAGTTCTTCAAAAACAGAACCGCTCCGCTGGTCCCTGGAAATACCACCTTCAACAGAGAACTGTTATCAGCCTGAAAAAAAGAGACTCACAGTGCTGATGTATCAGAGCATCTCATAGGCAGCTTGGAGCAAGTACGAATTCCAGATGTTTTTGCTGAATCTAGAGAACCGATCAAGCTCCCAGAGTTAAATTCTGGACCTTTTGAAGCAAACATCTCCTCTGCCACTGATCTTAGTGAAATCAGGTTTTGACTATGGGATAAAAGCAGAGGGAGGGTGTTTGCTAGCACGTATCAGAAAAGTTTTTCGGGTTCTATATTGAACTCTGTGTGCCTGACACAGCTAACACAGAGGCCTCCTGTCCTCTCAGGGATTTCAACATGAATATTCCTTCCCTTTCCCTAGTGAAGACACGTTCTCTAATCTGTGAGATTGTCATGGTGGCTACTTGTTAAGTGTTGGAAGCGTGAGAAAAGCTGAAAAATCTGTAAAACACACGTTTCCTTGACACAAGGTGCCCAGAGCAAACACAGGACGGGATGGAGATCCAGTGATTTGGGTTTGCCGTGGTGCCAAGGAGGAATGTGGAGGGAGGCAGAGGCCGCCCAGTCCTCTTCTTTCACTTATCTCGAGGAAGGATTTACGTCCTGCTCTACCCCCTTCTCTGAGGGGGCAGTAGCCTGCTGACATTGCCTCTCATCCTCCCACTTTTCTCACAAAAACCAGCGCGCCCCTCACTCCAAGGAATATGCTGGGTCATTACTCAAAAGACAATGGCTTGACCACAGTCCCACCCGCTCACACATACATACAAAGATAAATACTCCCCCGAGTTTGTGTCTATCTCAGAGGGACAGATCGATGGGTTTGTGCTCCTGGTACTGGCTGGTATTGATAAACTAGACTTCCCATGAGAAATTTTGCTTTAACGTAGATATGTTAGGAAAAATTCATCTTGGAGCCTGTTAGATTTATGTATTGGATTGCTGTCTTAGTTACTGTGATGCTGAGTGGTTCATAAATTGATTTTAGTACTGAGCAGCTTCAGAAGAGATTGAAATAGAAGTGAATTAGGGGAAGCTTCCCATCCTGGTATTGCTCATGAAAATGGAGAGACAAGCATTTTACATATATATATATATATACTCAAATTTGTGCATTTTAATACAGTAAAGTATATTCCTCGATATCTCTGGTTCTTGGAATCAGAAGTGTGTACATGTGGCAATTAGTTTTTTGTACCTCACAATCTTATTTCTGATTTTCCATTTTCGGTTGCTTTCAAGTCCTGATTGGGTCACAAATAAAAACCTGTGTCATGGACACCACTGCCAGTTCAGACTCCTCCTGTACCAGGAGATATCTCCCCAAGTTGGCATGGTTCAGCACACCTGAATCCAGGGCAGAGCCAAGCAAGGAGCGGCAGTGTTGCCATCCACCCCGCTGCGTGTGTGACAGAAAACAGGGTGAATCATGAGCAATCTCAGTTTATCAGCTGCAGATTATCAATTTACCGGGTTTGGGGGAAGAAGGTGCCTAGCCAAACTCCACAGCTGGCTCTAGCCAGTACCAGGCGTTCTCTTTCCTGAGCAATGAAATGATCTCAGGCCCGCTCAGGTGTTTGCTGTTCCCAAAGAAGGAGAAGTGTAGAGACTTGGTACTACTCCTCTGTTCAGCTTTCTTGTCCTTCTTTGAGCCAAGTTCTTCTTCTTTCCCTGTGTAGAAGGACCTTTATGAGGCATTAAGTACATGGAAAGCAGAAGATGCTGGTCTGGGAGAGAGAATCGATCCCCTTGAAGAGCTTCAAGAAAGAGAGCGGCTGCAGAGGACACGGTAGTGCGCAGCAGCGACTGGAGTGGTGGCTTTATAAAGGAGACACTCTTTCAAAGGTTCCTTTTTTATTCACATGATAATTTTTAAGTTTCAGTGCACGATGGCTTTTCTTAGGAAAGGGAAATGTGTTGTCTGCTTTTCTCACTGCTCTAAACAGGTCTTGCACGGAGCGACACACGGAGTGGACAACTGTCAGTGAAGGGACCGCAGTATACCAGAGGTTGTGGTCTTCCTGCCCATCCTCCCTCCCAGACCTTCTCCACTTCACACCAAAGTCCTGCCCTGTTCTCAGGCACCTGGAGATCTCTACAGTCAGATGGTACTTGGTAAGTCTGGGCACGCGAAAGCTGCACTAGTTTTTTGCTTACTTTTCTAAGGGAAGGAATGTTAATTGTAGAATAAGGAGTTGCAAGGACAGTTTTCTTTTCTCAAGGCTAAACAAGCCCATCTCCTTCAGCCAATCTTATTATTCTCCCTCTTTCTGTCCTTTTTTTTCTAGTTGCTTCTCTGAATTAAGTATCCTTCATTACTTGGATCCCTTTTGTTGTCCCTTATGGCTCTCAAGGAGGTCGGCTCTTGCGGTGGGTGATGCTATTTTCCTTTTTAGATGGTTTTTCTTAAATGCATTACAGGGTTCTGTGACTTGTAATTTCCGATGAGTGCCATCCAGCCATTTAATTCTATGCAATTGCTATAGTAGATGCCAAACACATTTGCAGTAATTGGATGGCACTTAAGGGATTAGTCAAGACTGCCAAGACTCACAGTCATCCAAACCACAGCTGGGGTTTTGTGCTGTTTCCATGGAAGCCTTGCTGTGTCTGCTACTAAATTTATTTGCAATCTACATTTTGAATAAAATCCCCTGTGAAAAAGCCTTGTCAATGTTTATGGCCTTGCTGTGTGGCCCTGACTTTAGTGCACTCTGGCAGTGGCACGGTTATGCCATCTCCCTGAATGACAGAAGGTTTATAAACGACTCGTTCAGAGTCATTAAACATCTGACCCCAGCCAGGCTAACGTGTTGGCAGGCTGTTTGGGGTCCAGGTGTCATGAGCAGAGAAGCTGCTGCAGATATCCTAGAGGCTTCTGAGCTCTAAGGGCCGTTCATGATCTTTATACGTCATGCAGAGGTGGCAGAGTGTCTGCAGACTCAGCTTCTTGGGGGAGGGAGGGTCTCTCTGCACTTGAGTGGGAAATACAGACTAGTACGGATTGTGTCCTAAACACTCTTCCATTCAGGTCTGCTCTTCCAACGCTGCTTATTAGGCTGGAGGGACTTGTTATTCTGCCTTTGACTTGTTGTATTGGGGAGAGACGACTCTCTATGCTGCTGGTAGCCCAGGAGAGCAACAACAGATACTTGTTCTCTACCCACTGACTGGTGCTGATCATCCACCCCCATTAGCTGTCTTACCTCTGAGTCCTGGTTTGGCTCCGTCACTCCAGGTTTGGATATTAGCCTCTGATAGCTGAGCTTGGCCTAATAAATTTTGGCTATTTTTGTGGTGATCTGACCAAGGAGTAGGAGGTGTGAAGGTGGATGGTGACTGACAAGAGCTGATGTATCCGAGATACAATTAAAAGCTATCCTTGAAGGGGAGGACAAGATGCATTTTGCAGTGCTATTTTAATCAGGGTGATACCAGCTGCTTATGTCTTTCTCGTATGCCAGGGAGATTCACAAGCCTTGGGTTAGAATTCCCTCAGAAGCTGACAAAGGTTCATGTATTGAACTGTAGGAGAGCAGTGGCCTGGTGGTTAGCAGGACTGAGTGAGGTGGAAGTCTGCCACTCAGGAAAAGGGCATAAGTAGTTCTTCATTAAGTGCTGGTTGGTGATGTGAGAGCATCAGATGGGAGCCGTGGAGCGCATTGCTGGGCTTGAGAGCCTGTTGGGGCAGCTTTATTTGGAGGCTAATTGGATTGCAGCTCAAAAGAGAAATTTCCTGTCTCTTGTTATATCAGGATGAATGAACTGGAATGGAGCTGCGCAGCTGCACGGAGGCTGCTCTGGCTCTGCCAGCTTGGCTAAATTGGCTCCAGTGCATCTGTGCAGCGCAGCTGGGACCCCTCAGCCTTTTGCCACTGGTAACACCTGGCTGGCTTAGAGCATTGCCAGCCTGCAGAGCTAAGGCAGGGTCAGGTGCCAGGCTGAGGGTGTTGCTCATGAAACCTTTTCCTCTGGGGGTCGAGCTGAGTAGCATGTGTGTTTTCCTATGGCTGGTTGATAATTCCGTGGAGGAGAAGGCAGAGGCCTCAGTCTAGGCTTTCTAGCTGTTCACATGACAAAGGTGAGGGAAGGGGATGAAGGTGTCCCCTCAGCACTTGCAGCAAGGTGAGCTCAGATAGAGCTGTCAAGCCAGGACCCGTTTCACATCCTTCCAGATCAGGAATGATACACATTGGCACAGAAGTAAAAAAAACCTGATCTGTCAAGTATATTCAAAAGCAGGGCTTCACCTTTAAGTCAGTGGTTAACGTGAATACACATTTTATTAAAAACTTTCAGCCTTTGATTTAACATTCTCCTCTTATTCCCCAGTGATGCTTTTATTGGCTGACTTTAGAAGGTGAAAACATTGCAATACAGCACTGCACAATCCTGCTGTTCCAGCTATCATTGCACTCAATCTCTCAGCAATGTTTTATGTGCATTTTTATTTACTTTCTGTTATCTGGTTCAGCGCCAGCTGTCTCACAGAACAGGGCATGATGGATTAGTTTCATTAGATGTTCAGTATTTTTACTTCATTTCTGCGCCTCTTCCTCAAGCGCTTTCACTTCTTGGGTTGGGGGAGAGGAGTGGATAAACACACTGGCTAATGATAACAAGACCTCCTGCACGCTGTACAGGGGATTCAAGACTTGAGGGAGCAACCTGGAATGCATCTGAAGGCTGAAAATGGCTCTCCTGGAAAATTAAAATATATCCTGGAACTTCAGCATGCTTCCATTTCTCACTCCCGCAGACAGGTTTGGATGCTCCTGTAGATAATGACAGAAAGACTCTTTCCACAGATTCCATTTCTAGGCAAAAGAAACCAAAACAACCCAGAATGATTTTCTAATAACTCCTGAAAGAAAGATTTCCTTTTCCATTGTTCCTGGGTGTGCAGTGGTGCTAGTTAGGAGGACAAATACCGAGGCTGATTTTTGTCAGTTTTTCATTGGCAAGTGGCAACTTTTATTTACACTGCAAAGTCACGGCAAGGATTAAAAGAGAAGCTGAACGGAGCATTTTTCATTACAGCCTGCACACAGGTTTCTTTGTTCTTGCATCAACACCTATTATCTTCAGAAAGCAGCTTATGCTTGATGTTACTGATTTCCCTGTGTTTCCGTGTGCATGAGCTGTGGTTTAAAACGAACTTCCTCTTTCAACCTGTTCAGGTTTTATTTTGAGATGTTGACCTACGAGTATGATGCTATGAGAGAGAACCACTAATGGAGAGAGCTGACCTCTGCCTTTCCCACTGTCCGTTTCCTTGCCAAAATAGTTTATCTCCTCTTTACATCCTCTGCTCCTTGTCTCCTTTCTATTTCAGTAGCAGGTCTGGCGCCTGTTTCTAAAGGACGACGCATCTGCATCGCTCAGGCATTTGCTGCAGGAGCATTTCCAGTGCTTCAGAAATCTCTCAGCATCTTATGAGTCAGCTGTCATGTGTTTGGAAGCTGATGTTTTTCTGTTGCACTTGATAGCTCAGTGAAGGCCAGAGTGGGGATCACTGGGAGAATTAATGCCTGGGGGTGATCATTTGGAGCTGGAAGCGAACAAGGCAAGTGCCTAAACGCCTCCAGCAGTCACTCATGAATCACGTCTGCACTGGCCAGGGCTGCCATTGCAGGGAAAACACGTGGTCTCTTCTGGGTGCAATTTGAAGATATTACAGGGCTGATCTTGAAATGTTTCTATGCTACAATACCATAGAGTGGCAGATGTGACCTTGCTGTGTTTTAAATGCCACCGTGTCAGGGCAGGGGTCTGAAGTTTAATTTCCACCGTCCCTTTACGTGGTGTTTACAGGCTCGTGCCTGGGCTGAGTTCAGCTCTGGGGCAACATACCACCAGAGTGGTACCGACAGGTGGAGGGAGCAGGCTGAGCACACAGGGACGTGTATCCTACGACTGTGTGTGCATAATGAGAAGGCAATTGTTGTGAACAGCATGAGGATTTATGTAGCATGTAAGGAATTAAAAAAGAGAAAGGGACAGTTTCGGTACCAGAGGAAAAATCCTCCTTGTGAGAATTTCAAGACTGAGTAAATAGCCCTCATGGGAAAAAAGCAGAACTGTTTTTTTTCCATGGGAAGTTCAAAATGTTGGACTCAAGAAGGGAGATAGCTTGCAGAAAAGATCCAGCCTCAGTCCCTTGAGGAGGACTAAGAGTAACTACTGGGTTTTGTCTTTAACTGGTAATGATTAGATTTTGCTAGGTTACTTACTACTCCCCCAGGAGTGAAGCTGGTTATGTTTGAACAACCCACAGATACTTTGAGAAACGCACCAGTAATCTCAATCTCCAGGCAAGAAAAAAGATAAGGTTGTGAAAATTACAAAGTGATAAGAAAAAATATCTGTAAAAGCATGCCAGCGACGCTGTTGTCAGCATGCATCTAGCCTGTGCTGAGCAGTGTTCAGAATATTCTGAGGAACATTTGGTAAAAATTGAAGCTTTTTAATCAAAATCAACTATTGCAACTCCGCTTCTGCTTGATGGCTCTAAAAAACGAAGAAAGTATCAGTTTTATATGCTTTTTTTTTTTTTTAATGATCAAACCTTGTTGACATCTTCAGGTTACACCTATAGCAGGAAAAATTCTCACTCTAAGGAACATTTTCTCTAACGTGTGTAAATCCATTCTCACATTAATTGACCTGGAAAATAATTACAAATCTCATAGCAGACCTGTGTCTTTGCCAATAAATAAAACCAGGCCAGGAGGTAACACACTGTTTAACTGCTGGCGAGCTTCTTTGTCTGGTTTTAGCCTGTGAAGTCACCCAGCCAGATGAGGAAGATGGGGATGGAGGGGGGGGGTGTCTCCAGACACTACCAAGGGTTGTCTTGTCTCCACTGATACTTCATTTGTCCATGAACTTGGCTGTCATTAGTGTAGCAGGAGCAATGGTGGAGGCAGTCCCGAGACATGGGATACACTTGCTGCTTAGTCCTGTCGCTGGGGCAGTTTCAGCAGGGCCAGGGCGAGCAGATGGTGTTTTTGCAGGACCAGACCCACGATCAGAGATGACGCTTGGCTGTCACCCAGCGCCTTGTTCTTGCAAAGTGTCTCATCAAGGAGCAAACTGGGCAGAAGAGCAGATGGTGGCTCCGTTAGGATGCTCCTGTCTCCATACAGCTCTGGTCTGTCTCCCTGTGCACAGCCCCAGCAGAGCTTGGCTCTGGGGTCTGGGCAGTGCTGAGGGAAGATAGGCTGAGCCTACCTTTCTTCCTTACTTGTTTCTGGCTTCATGGACCACCGTGGCCTCCTTTCTCCCCACAGGAGTGCGTTTTCTTGGAAGGTTTTCTCTCCTTTGGTTGTTATATGTTTTAAGATTTTATTGGTGCTTCAGGCTTTTGGACAGAGGATCTTTAAGCCTGGACCTAGTGACAGTCTGGTCTGTAGGCATCTGGTAAGGAGGGGTGGGTACAGTGGCCAAATACTATTTGAGGATGAGGGAAACTGTGAGTAACATGCTTGAGTGAGAAAGAGGGCTCCGGGAGGGACTTGGGGAGTAGCCAACATGTTTTGTGAGATAAAGAGGGGCTGCCCAGGTGGGTGTGCAGATAGGGAAGGGAGAGGACGTGGGAACGGGAGAGAGGAGCAAGACCAGCCCTTCACTTGCGCCGAGCCCGAAGGGTGGCTGCGACGTCTGAGAGCAGGCTTGGGGCTGGGGCGACCTCTCCCACACCTTGGGCCCAGGTGGTGGAGCAGACAGGGGGTGCGCAGGAGCGGGGGACTCACTCCCTCGGCAGCCTGCCCGTCGCCCCAGGAGCCCCTCGTGGAAGAGCCACGTGCAGGAGCGGTCGCCCACCGTGAGGCTGGAGCTGGGGAGGCAGCAGCCGCTGCGTTAAAAGGAGGCCACAGGCAGATTTCTGTTCTAGTTTTGCAGTTGCTGGAGAAAGGTTTCTTTCGCTTTGCAGAAGGAAACTCTAGGGATGGCTGTGGGATGAGGAACAAAATGAGGTATTTTGAGGATAGCGTTTCGTTCGTTATTGCGCTGTTTGCGATTCTCTTGTGATTTGGAGCAACCTTGTCACATATTCTTTAAAAATCTGATCCATCTGTTTAGATTTGATACAGAATTTAAGGAGGATGAAGGATAAAATTTTCATAGAACCCAAGGTCTTGAGAATGATTCTGCCTGGGAAGAGAGGTGTGTAGAGCAGAGGTGTGTGTGCTGGGGATCACCCCGCTGTGCTGCCTGCTGCCTCCACAGCGTGAGCCACTCTCTTGACCCGTGTTCAAGCACGTACCACAGTTGCATAGTGAGTATCCCAAGAGCCTTCCCCGTCCTGACAAAGCCCCATGAGCTAACTGAGTGCTCAGGTGTGAGCTAATTGGGTTCTCACGTATGAATGCTGTGAACCCTGCACTTTATGTCAGATACAACAGCTCGTGTCTCCGAGTAGACGCTCTCTAATAGATTCAGCTGTGGGCAGTCCATGTCCCCCATGTGGAGGAGACAGTGCCCACCCTTCTTGGCTTAAATAATGTTTCATGTCCTTGCACATGCAAATGCCTCTGTTACACTGAGAGTCACCTCTTGCAGTACTGGCTAATAAAAAACTTTTATCCCAGTGAGGGTTAAACTGTTCCTCTCCCTTTGGTATTTCAGGAGATGCTATGTTCTGTATCTATGTGTGCCCAGCTCAGCACTCCCTGTGCGTTTCAGTGAGACGTGATGGTGATTGAGCCCTTAACCACACGCAGAATTTATTTATGAGCTTCTTAAATTGGGGTTTTGGTGGGAAGATACAGTAGCCAGGCAGGTATTTTGGATGACGGGTAAGGACCCAAGTCCTCATTGCTCATGCAAACAAGAAGTTAAAAATTTAACCAGGTGCTTTGCCATCATGTAAAGGCTGAATGAAGGCTGCAGTACTGAGAGACTATAGCTCTGTCACCTCGGGTGCTGTAACATGTTTCCTTATAAACATTTTGTGACTGTGGGGGAGAGAATGAAGCTTGGGAGCAAAACTGAGGCGGGGACTTCCCCAGAGGATGGATTAGCTGGAAAGCAGCTAGAGGAGAGATCTGGTGTTAGTGCAGCTGCTGGAGAGCAGCTGCCGGGAGGGAGGAGATCAGCCTCTCGCTCTGAAGGGGTTGGTGTGGTAGGTTCCCATGCAGAGCACGTGTGGATAATGCGAGCTGCAAACGCTGCTGCCTGCTCCAGCCACCGGTACCGAGCGAGCCGGGAGCATGGGGCAGGTGGCTTGGAAGGGTTTATTTCTATCGCTTTTTGATTATAAAACGGAGAAATACGTCATTGCGAAGAACAAGAAGGTGGGGATTCTCTATCGAGTGGTGCAGCTCTCCATTCTGGCTTACCTGGTGGGGTAAGGATCACCCTGCATTTCACATGCTGCTGCGGCTGCATTTGCTTGCTGTGTTGTGATGAAGATTCATATAGGATACTCTGCATGCAGTGACAGCTTGCTGTGCCTTGTGATTTTAATGCGGATAGTTATGCTTGTTTATACCGCTGGATTTGGTTATGTCTAATACATTATATCTGATTTTTCACCTGCTAGAGATTGCTAGATTCAGTTCTACCTTCCAGATTAACGTTGGGTTAAAAATAGATCAAATGGCCGTACGGCTTTGTACTGCATTATTTACGCCTTTATTTCTGTATTCCGTGGGAACGGTGCCAAACCTTCACTCCTGACTCATTAGAAACAGCAGCATTTATGGCCACGGTTGTTGAGCCCTGGGACAAACCTGGGCTGTCTGCGTGACTGCATGACATGCTCAAGTCTAAATGGGAGGGAACCAGGCACAAAGTGGCAGATTTCATTGCTGGAGCGGGCTGCAGCAGCCGGGGCTGTGGAGTCAGAGGCAGCGTGAAAGTTGCCTGCCTGGCATTTCTTTCAGAACAGGGCGAGTTGGCACGGAGATAGCTAGAGCACCTCTCGGAAAGGGCCCAGTTCTGCCAGAAGCTGGTCACACTGACCTACAACAAACACGGCAATACTCCTTGCAGCTCGCAGGATCGGACATGGAATTACCCAGCCTGTGTGCTGCCTGTGGCCACGGCTTCCCGGAGTTTCTGAGGCTTTGCAGAATGTGATTCATAGGTCTTTACCCTCTCACTGTCTGTGCTTCTGAGTCCCTTCACCTTTCTCACATCTCCTGCTTTCACTGATTAAATATAGCAGAGTAATTTTGACGTGCTGGGATTATTTATAGAAAGGGGCACAGTTCCGGAGCCTGCTTTAGTTAGCAGGGCAGAGATGAAGTCTCAGCAGTCTGGCATGTATTAGCTGCTAAAGGAGGAATCCTGTAGATAACATTGCTGAGGACACATCCTCCGTCCAAGAGGGATATAGCACGACAGTGACCGTGAGTGTTCAGAGACTGTCTAGGCCACAGAGGCTTTTTTCTTCCCTAGGCAGCTATTGCCTTCTGCAAGGCTTTGGCACCGTGGCTGATGGTGCCTGCAGTGACTCCTGCGTGGCTGGGGGCTACCGCAGGTCCCAGCCGTGGCAAGTGTTAGTCTGGCTGCTTGATTACGTACCTGTACCTGTACCTGTTCAGGGGCTGGCTTGGGGCTTGGGATTATCAAACCCCTCCGGACCATTTCTTGCATGTAGCTGCTATTTCTCCCCCAATTCACTGCAGAAAATGTAAGGGTCTGCTTTTTAGCTCTCCCGGGAGAGAAAAACAGTGTTCTTGGGGAAAACAGGAAAGTAGGAAACTTCACAGGGGTGGGGGATGTTATTATTCAGGTTTGTCCCAAGTAGCAGGCGAGGGGCAGCACATGTGGGTGCTGCTCAGCCTCAGAGATGGCTGCGTTCCCCTTCTGCATGCAGCAGGGCGCTCCAGGTCAGGGCACTGCAAAGGGGAACTGTGCCAGCAAACGCAGCCTGCGTCCCTCTCCCCAAACCTGTCCCAGCACCCTCAGCTTCTTCAAGGGTCCGGGTGATTTGTTGTCTTGGCAGGTGACTTTGGCAGTATTGTGGAGAAGCTGGAGGCATTTCATTTAACCCAGAGAGGTTTTCACCCTATGGTACGGAGCTCTTGCTGCTTCAAGTGGGAAGAAGTAAGCAAAACCTTTCCTGGGAGTGCTTAGTGAGGCAGCAGCTCTTCCAGGTGTGCTGGGGAGAAGCCTGAAGCACAGTGCAGGGGCCAGGGTGCACTCAGGTTGTTACCATCCCACCGGCTTACAAAAGATCCTGTATCCAGCTGAGAATATTCCCTACAGATTTCTGTTAGTGATACTCAGTTCACCTGCTGGAATTGCATCTCCCCAGCCACGGGCTGTGACGGCAGACTGCTAAAATGGGAGCAAGTCATGTATTTGTGAAACCACACTGCAACTTGCAAAAGCTGATATTATTTTTCATCTCGAGGAAGACAGAGCCCTGCCCTCCCCACTTTCCATGGAGCTTGCACAGGGCAGGGACGTGGGAGGTTTTGGTTTTTTACCCTGTGACCACTTATTACACCTTTCCCTGCATGTGGGGTTTTGGTCCTGACTTTTCCTCCAGTGCTGTAGAGATGCACAGCTTGTGTCAAAAAGTTTATTCTAAATTTGTAGTAGTAGTTGCAGAGGGTTTGGTGTCGTTGGCATGTTTTGATTTGCCCTTGAATGGTGTTTGGCCTTGGTGTAAATCTTCCCTGTTCCCTGACCCTGCTTGCTAATGCTGCTGCCTGCTGTGTTCTTTGCAGGTGGGTGTTTGTTGTCAAGAAAGGCTACCAGGACACAGACACATCCCTCCAGAGCTCTGTCATCACCAAGATGAAAGGGGTAGCCTTCACCAACACCTCGGAGCTGGGGGAGAGGCTGTGGGATGTTGCAGACTACGTGATCCCTCCACAGGTTGGTGTCGTGCTTCGAGCCCAGAGGGCAACTGAGCACCACGCAGCCATTCGCTGCCCCCTTCCCCCCAGTGCTGGGCAGAAGGAAAATGGATCAAAAGGCTGAGGAATGGAGATAGGACGGGGAGGGGTTGCTCACCCATTAACGGTCACGGGCAAAAGACAGGCTGTTAGGGGAAGAGAAAACCCATCACTTTATTTCCAAACACTAACGATAATGAGACTGGGACAGCGAGAAGTGTTGTCATATCTTAAAACCACCATATCTTAAAAACACCTCCCCACACTCTCTCCTTCTTCCTGGGCACAGCTTTGTAGCAGATATTTCTACCTCCTCCCCCAGCAACACAGGGGCAGGGGATGGGGGGTGCAATCAGTCTGTGGCTTTTTCCTCGAAGGTGGGGCCAGCACTCTGCTGCATTCTCCCCCCTGCTCCACGTCGGGTCCCTTTCACAGGAAACACTCCTCCCCAAACTCTCTCCACCGTGAGTCCTCCCGATGGGATGCATTGCTCTCAAGATGCTCTGGTGGAGGTCACCTCTGCATGTTGCAGTCCTCCCAGTGCCAAACTACAACAGTGGGGGGCTTTTTTCTTCCTACAGGGTCCTGGGGATCCTCCACAGGTGGGTCCCTGCTCCTCTGGTGACCCCAATGGGTGGCAGAGGGGTGGCTCTGCCATTTCACCACAGGATACAGGGGGGGCTTTCTGCTGGTGGAAAGGCTGAAGTGATGTATCCAGGTCTTTCCTGTGGATAAGCAGGAGGTGTGCTACAAGAAAGCGATGCTGTACCTTCTGTTAGGGCTTCCCAGCAAATCCCAGAGCAGCCTTGTCTGTCTCGCAAAGGTCTGTGCTCCTTGGCAAGCAGCACCACGCACTCAGCTGAGCAAAGTGTCTGCTTGCCTCTGTTCTGGGGCACGGGGCAGCCCAGAGTGGGGGGGAGATGGAAAGAAAACGGGGTGCAATTTGAATGATGAGGGTTGTTTGAAACGTGTCTGGCTAAACCTGACTTGCTGCTTCCTTGACTTGGACAAAGTGACATCATAGCTGATGCTTAAGGGGAAGAGATGGCAGCAGATGTGGCCCGGCACCAGGCTGGAAATTGCCAGGGGCTGTTTGTGCTTTCCCTGCTAGTGTCCACCCTGTGCACGGAGAGGTGTGAGGGGAGAATCGGGGTCCTGTGCTGACAGGGGGTACAAAGCTGTAAATTGAACAACTTACTTGTCTTGTACACAGGAATAAAACTTCACCTTCCTCCTGCTGCAGCCCACCTTTACTCAGAGCTGTGGGGCTGTGCTCTGCATCTCCACCAATTTCAGGGCAAAGCCTCAGCCTCAGGCCAGCGTGCGCGGTGCAGCAGGGAGGCCAGGCAGTGTGCTTGCTGTGCCTCTTGGCCAGGCTGTGGGGAAGCCCTGGGACACTTAGCAGGTGGCTGGTGTGCACACCCAGAAATGAAATGGTGACGGCGACCAGTATTTTAACCTGTCAGATGTTTCTCCTGTGACTCAGTGGTCTTGTTACTGCGTGTTGGTTTATTGGGAGGCCTTGCAGAGTGGTGTCCTGAGTGAACATCACCAGCTCTGCCTCCTGGTGTGCTCTGCAATGCAGATATCTGCACTAAGGCATCATGAAGCCCAGCGTGACTCTGCCATCAGGCTACGATATTGAATCCAGCATTACTGCAGCCTGCCCCGGTGTACATCAGCCTCCAGCCATCATGGTGGTGTTAGACCCTGGGCTCACAGTGAAACTCAGCAACTTCTGTGGGCTGTGAGTGCAAATGTGGACATCTCATGAGCTTTCCTGCCCTGTGTGGAGCAGGGCCCCTCACCCCAAAAAGGCCATTGAAGGACTCGAGCGTGGCCAGAGAAGGGCAACGGAGCCGGGGCAGGGTCTGGAGCACAGGTCTGCTGGGGAG